TAATATAAATATTTTGAAATGTGCCTAGGAAAATGCGTTAAAAGGAAAATAAAAGTATTTAGATCAGACATAGAAAATGTTGCGTTGCATTAAACGCTAGTTAATAAATCTGATCTGTATTTCGAGTTTTCTGTACAATTTAATAAAAATTGTTCTCTACTTCTAAATATACTGCACGTGATTATTACTGATTGTGGGTCACTGTTTGTATGTATATATAAAGAAGGGGGAATAATGTAGTGATTATACCAGATTGTGGGTCACTGTATACAAGTTTTTAACGGATTGTGCGATAAATATATTGCACTTGATTAAAACTGATTGTGGGTCACTGTATATATGTACATAATGAATTGTGTGATAAATATATTGCAGGTGGTTAAAACTATGGGTCACTGTATATATGTTTATTTATACAGAGAAAATTGACACAAAACTCAATATAGAATTTATATTTATTTATTGTGGCGAGTATTGGCCGTGGCACAGTACAAAATTGTGGGACGCCATTTCAATTGGGCGAACCCACCAAATTCAAACATCAACAATGTGTGTTTCTTTTTTCTAACCGTCCCGGGTTAACCGCGGAGGGTCAGCACACATACAAACTGTTCAAATCAATCAATCAATCAATCAATCATTCAATCAATCAATAAGTCATATCTCAAATTCCAAATATCAAGCATATCAACTTATTTTATCAAATCTTGTACTGTAAACCAATTATTATACGCGTCATTTTTTATTCGCGACTGACCGCTGGAGAACTAATCCGCGACGATTTATTTCCGCGAACAAATGGTCATTTTTTTTTATTTCCACAAGTATTCTATTTTTTGTATCAAAATTTCATATCCGGTCATAAACTAGGTAAAATGCTACCGTGAGTACTGCTTATGTAATATTTAAGACATTCTGTGGATTGCGTCTATTTAAAATCTTATATCGGCACCTAAAGTAGGTAAAATGACAAAATGTTACCATGAGTATACTTCTTACGCATTATTCACGACGCTCGAATGAAAATTGTTTTTAAAAAAATTGAAGAGATTTAAGTTGCTTTAAAACTCTCAAGTGTAAAAGTACCTCGTGCTAATTGGGTAATTGATGCTTTACAAGGGGCAATTATTATAAATGGTTGGGACGGAGCAGGACAAGACCATAATTAGTCGTAATTAACCAGGCTATCTCCAACTCGTCTGTAACAATAAATGAATAATAATAATAACACAAGCTGAAATATTTATTGACGTTTTAATCGTTTTAGACAAATAGTTTTAGATTTTCCATTCGTTTATATATTTTTTCCTGAATGTTTGTAATAAAACTTCAACTGCTTCTAGAACACTAAAATTCTTCCGTGATTACTTATTGAATCTTCGGGATCGGTACTCAAAAAAGGGCAAATAACTCTAATCATAACATGGCAAAATGAACAACTAGTTCGCGACGATAAATATCCGCGAGAAGAGGGTACTCGCGGAACTCGCGGATATTTATCGCACGCGTATAAAACTTGGTTTACAGTATATCATATATCATTAATATCTCAAACTTCATAGATCAAACATCTCAAACTTCAAATATCAACATTTTTCATATTTCAAACCTGTACGATGTAGTACAGTTCTAAAGTATATATTACTGTCACCAAGAGTAAGCTTATTAGCTTAGTTTACACTAGCATTAGCATTTCAACAAGGTGACAGTTTATTACAAGTTTCACACAAACATTCAGTTATCAGTTGACTTGGTGTGCGCAGACGCCACATTGCTGCAAGTTGGCACAGCTTGCAGTCACCCCACACATTGGGGGGAAGCAAAGCAAGTCAACTGGACCACGACCAATACTGCCAAGACCCCCCTTCCCAGCTAGATCCTTGCACACATCTTGATTCCTAGATGTGCATATCCTTCAGCAGACTTAGACTAAAGTATTTTGAATTTCCCTTAATTTAGAAAAGGTTTTACAACACATAAGGCAATCAAATCTTACCAAATGTGATGTATCTCACCTAGTTCCTCAATGCCTAATAAAGCTTTGTCTTGTAGAAACTTACCTGTCTATTAATTCCTTCTAAATGTCTGAGCAACCTTGCAATGCTCTTTACCACCATAATTTTTCGTTTCTCCATTATTCAACGCAAGTTAGATGTAAATGGTTGTAGTTAATCAAAATTAAAGATCTGGGTTTTTTTTTTTTTTTTTTTTTTTTTTTAAACCAAATATTGGGAGTTTCACTCAAGAGAACTACCTATATCATAATTCCTGTTTAAAAATTGCTAGGAAAGCCATGTCCTGCTGTTGAAAAAACCAAATTTTGTATCTCCGAAGACGACTCATTCACTCTCTAATTAGCCAATTGAAGCAGAGCAATTTGAAATTCTTAATCATATTCAATTACAAGAAGGTACAACACTATTTAGTGATGGTTACAATACTTGTGTACTCGACTAATCTTATTTATGTGCTAATTGACTAAGTCCCTTCCCTGTTACATAGATTCTTTCAATAAATATTATTAATGCCTGTGATACATGTATGTGCATCTGAGCTCTACCGCTCTATATGACCACATTCTTCCACTGTGTAGCCCAAAATGCAAAGCAAAGTCTAAAATTCTTAAAGGTATAGATGTTTGATTATTAATTACATCAAATGGAAATATTTAATTTTATTTATTTATTTATTTGTTATATGCAATGAGCCTGAATACACGTATTACATGTACTGCTATCAATATGTGCTTGATCCTTCTTATTATGGTTCGCAGTCGACTGTAAAGTTTCACGTTACGTCACGATTTAATTTGACAGCTCGCTCAAGGTAAATAGTACCCGCCTCCTAGACGCAAGCTAAATGATTGGTAGTTTCTCCTTATCCCTGATTGGTTGTTCGTGACAGACAATGAATAAAAAACACAAACAAGAAAAAGTTGGACATAACCATTTAATTACACGTTTTCAATGTACATTTAACGCCTTTTCTTAGGGGGCACGGATTCATCTGCAATATAAAAAAAACTACAAATTATAAAGTGGTAAATATAAAAGATCGGGATTTTTTTCTTAATATCAAAGTGACATGATTAAAATTATGTAATTAAAACATTAACTCACCCCAGGGACATGGTTCGTTTGGACTTGGGGGCCTTCCTAATGCCGCAGGAAACCGCACGGAGTTCGCCTCCAGAATTGGCCGAGCTGGATTTCCTATGTTAATATTCCGAGGTCTGGGACGTCCGCCGTCAAAATTCTTTATTATTATTGTAGGAAACGTGTGCGATATTTGCTCCAAGTTATCTGGCACTTTTCCGTGAAAATGTTTCTCAAGTTTTGCCGTATCAATGTTGACAATGCCGGATCTTGGTACGTATTGCCCGTTTGCAGTTTTTAGTAAATATTTTCCTTTGTCGCTGTTAATTAGATATCCCCCGATTTTCTGACTGAAAGAGTTTTTAACAGAATCAATTGCCTTCACTTTTGTCTCCTGTTCTAACTTTTTATCTCGCAAATTTTTCTCAAGTCGTTTGAGGTGCTCATTTGAACTTTCAACAATTGATTTCTCTTCCGGATGTTTACTTACATCACCGCATTGCTGACTTGTCACACATTTTTCAATAGTGCACTGTCTTGCATTGTGGTCAAGTCGCAGATGGCAATTTCCGCATTGCTTACCGGTAAAGTTTCCGATATTTTGCGGGGCTGTACAGTATTTTTCTTGCATACTCAATGCGTAATCCTTTGCACTTTCTACTTCTGTCTCCAATTCTTCTATGTCATTGTTAAGATCTTTTATGGACTGTTCGATCGGCGATCGGTAGGTGTAAAAATCGAGAAATTCATCACTCGGATTATAGGTGCTTTTAGTAAATGTGGGTGTCTGGAAATTCAACTCCTTTCGAGCTGCCGTTTCTCCGGATCGAGGATTATTTAGCGACTGGAAATGTCCCGGCGACGTTCCTTCGGATACTTTAATATTAACGACAGGGATTTCGTCTGAACCTGATGTGCGCACGGTCCTGAGGAATTTTGAGAAATTAACTGGAGAAAGATCCACATAATCTCCCTCTTTGTCCTTGTATGACATTCTCAGCATCGGCATTCGGCTGATGTATTTTATCTGGGACTGTATGACTGCTTCCAGTCCGATGTATCCAAGCGACATCAGCTCAGTAAATTCTATTGAAATAGGCGAGACTCTACTTTCATTGTAGTACATATAGTGAATCTTCAAATCAATCTCATCTGCTGCGTTTTGAACTTCTTTTGATAGCGCCATTTTTGACAGCTAAAGTCTAATGACTTAATGTAAAGATCTCGTGCAAAATTTGATTGACCAATCAAACAACAAGATAGTTCCCGCTACATAAAAAAAATTCCATATTATGTATAAAAATAAAACATGACCTTCAACCTTTTGCGCAATTTGCAGAGAATCATAGGTACCCGCTGCATAAAAAAATTCCAAATTATGTACAAAAATAAAACTTGACCTTCAACCTTTTGTACAATTTGCTGAGAATCTATAGGTAAGGGAGAAATATTCCTAATTAAAACCTAAACCCTGTTTATTTGAAGTTCAAGAATTAGTAACGTAGGGGCGGAGGCCTCACCGGGGGCTATTGCCTCTCTTTTAGATGGGGGAGGGGGTGAATAAGACTGCCTTAAACTGTGTTTTGTGCCTCGTCCACGCATACTTACTTTGAGTGTAGCATCATATAGTTTGAACATCGGGGATTTAAAGATAGGCCTTGCTGTGATTTTTATGTGATGATCAATATAAGTACTGTGTAGATTATTAATGAGAAGTCGAGGGATGTGGGTGGGGCGAGGACATACATGTATATTTGTGTACCGGTGTACAGTTTTTTTTTTGTACCCCTCCACTTTACAATAGCAAATCTATTATTGAATCAACTCCGTATGAATCCGAATGTAGTAACCAGGCACATACGAAACAGGGAGGGATGGCCTTCCCACTTTTTCCAAACATAACTTTAACTATTGAAACATTCATTGAAAAGCCTCCCCCCCCCCCTTGCAGTAAAGTAAAATAAGGGTAATGTAGTACATGTGTTACATTGAAAAAAAGATACCAAAAACCAAAAGAAGTTATTATTCAAAAAAGTTGGTCTACCCAATTCGAATACCCCCCCCCCCCTTTTCAAGAAATGGATTTCGAGTTTTGGTGAAAAAAATTATATCTTTCGCATGTCAATTTTTTTTCAGATAAGCATTTTTTTTTCTGGCTGTCCCACCCCTCACTTTTAAAAACGATGCTATATATAGAGTAACAACAATTAAAAAAAAGTTTCGATACCGATATTTCCTCTCTTTATATACCCTAATACATACTAACGACTGCAAATTGTTTTAATTGATTTTTAAGGCATGTTGTCGAATCAAAAAAGAAATAGCGCAGGGAGGGTCTATGACAAGGGACTTCCTACAGGAATTGACTATCGAAGGAGTGTCATTGATTACATGGAAAGAAATGGCGCAAGGCTCGGAGAATACTCTTTACCAAGAGGACTTTGTACAAAAGCGGCACAGGAATTTAAATTAAACCCAGTTACAATTAAAAGATTTTGGACGCATTATTGTAATGAAGGGGTTGTAAAAGTCCCAGTTAATAAACCCAATGGAAGAAGTAAAAGGAAATTAACGGAAGAAGATGTGGAGTACGTTCATGTCTTGAAAAAAGTGAGACCATCAATGCCTTTGTCATCGATTAGGGATGAACTGTTGAAAAATTCGACTTCGGTAGAGAATGTTAGTATTAGTACAATTTCTAGGTCATTGCGAAATGACTTAAACATGACCTATAAGCGGATATCAAAAATAAACAAAAACAGATTTACTCCACAAAATTTGAATTACACGCAACATTTCATCAATCTCATTAGCCAAAAAGATCCATACACACTAAAATTTATGGACGAAATGGGAATAACACTCTCAGATGGGCAAAATACTTATGGACATTCTACAAAGGGTCTTCCATGTATCGAATTAACTCGATACAATCGCCATGCAAACGTTATACTGTAAATGCCATAGTTGGAATATGTGAAAATATTTGATGGACCATCTTATGGTAACGAATATGTTCAATTTATCGCAGAGGCTACACAAAGTTTTACCGACGAGGGGGAACCTGTCTTTCACCCGGGGGATATTTTGATAGCCGACAACGCAGCAATACACCACAACAGGGCAGAAAGGGAGCTTCGCAATAATTTGCCAACAGTGGGAGTCGAATATTCCTTTTTGCCTACATATTCCCCTGATTTGAACCCAGTAGAAGCAGTGTTTCGTAAAATAAAGAAAATTCTGAAAGCAGATAGATACATCACATTATTGAATGTCGATTTAAAAATTGCTGTTTATGAGGCTTTTAAAGAGATAACGTCACCTGATACCTTGTCGTTTTTCAAAAATACAGAGTACATTATCAATTATTAAAGTGAGATGTATGTATATGTTTTTTTTTTCATTCTTTTCATGATATCTATGTGATAAAGAATTACAAACAGGATGCAGCTCAATCTAATTAAAGATTAGATTTGTATCTCCGCTTCTCGACGATGCCCTACATAGTATATACATTGCGTATCATAGAGATGTGGGTACAAGTCATACAGTCCCAGATACAAGTACATTGACTAAGCTGAGACTGACTTCTTTTATCTTTGAACAGTCTGATTTTAGGACCCAATTCTACAGGGTATAAAGATAATTGGGAATAAATTTCAACAAAGCGTAATATTAAATTGGATTATTTTCTATTAGCAGTGTAGTTATTATTTTCATTTTGAATTTCAGAGAGACCAAACAGTAATTTTTTTTTTCCGGAACAGCGCTTATAATGACACCGAGCTTGTGTTTTTAATTAAAAACTTTCATTGTCCAAAGAAGACACTCTCAGTCTCTGTATTAATATTTTTAAATAAATTATGTATACAATTTATGTTCATTACTAGAAAAATTGAGCTCTTCGCTTTTTTACTTTTATAAGAAAATTCCTACCAATGAAAAAAAAAACGTTCGATTCATAATGAATTTCAGTTTTCGATAATTATAAAGAAATCAAATTATATACCATAAGAGTTTCTATTTTTATATAATATTTGCTCATATAGTTTATTTTAATATCCAAATACCGATAGCGCATAAAGATTGCGATGTTCTTTTTTTCTGTAATATTATGATTTATTTCTTGATAAGCATTAAAAATGTTCAAATATTTAAAAATAAAAAAAAATTCTGAGTTGTTCGTCCGAACTTTCGATGTAATACTTGACTCCGCCTAAAAAATGAGTTGACCAATCAAACAGATCTTATGTAGGAGGCGTGTATTGTTTACGCCGGGCGCATCTGTCAAACTAGATCGTGACGTAACGTGAAACTTTACAGTCGACTGCGAACCATAATAATAGTATTTTGATTAAAAAACATACACCAAGTGAAATTCATTTTACATGTAAATGCAAGCCCAAGGGACAATGCGCAGTCCTAAGTTTTAAAGTCCGCATAATAAGAACAGAGTTACAAAATAAAAGCACCCTGTGAGGAACTTTAATAGCCCAAACATCTTAAAAATGAAGTCAAATGCACATTCAAGGTTGAGCAATCTGTATAAAAATCCAAAAACATATAAACTTTCTGTGAGAACTCTTTTGAAAATTAATTGATACATTGTTAGGGATTTAAGGAACTTGCTTAATTGTGTCACTTCCTGTGTGTAAATATAACCAAATAGTTTAAATAAGTTGATTTGCAACATACATTCTGTTGCATTTATTATAAGTTAACCTGGATTCTAGAAGTAATTGTAATTTAACTTGGTATTTTTAACACTGTTATCTTAAGTAACCTGAACTGATCTGGAAGGTCATGTCTACCTACATCTCAAATATCCAATATCTCTACTGAAAGCTTTTCCTAATCCCAAACGTTTAAGAAAATGAGATTTGACTATTCCTTTTTTGCTTTAATTATTAAAAACCATTATATATTCATTTATAAATGATTACAAAACATTCTTGACATTTCTTGGATTACATATTGCAATTTCCAACCTTTCATTTCCACTTTATTGGATCAAAACAAAACTATCCTAGTAATTCCAGTCTTAGGCAATGGATGGTTTATGGTTATATATATGTAATTTGTATTTTCCTTTTCATTCAAGAATTAATATGAATTGATACATTATGTTTTTTAACAATGAAGATGCCCCCCCCCCCCTTTCTCATTTTCACCTTTGTATTACTATATTTCAATAATCATTTTGTTTCCAATTGAATAACTAGAAAATAGAATCAATGACCAGAAAGCTCCAACAAATACAGACTTGAGAAAGGCATTTTCCAGAGGATCATTGCTCCCCGACCCCAAATTTAGATCTCTTTTCTTCTTGAAGTCAACTATAATGAGTAGGATGCCCAATTTCAGTGTAAATCTATAAAATCTATGATATGCAATTGATCTTATCACTTGCCTTATAAATATCAAGGGCTTTCACAACATTAGATAGTAATATTTCATGAATACAAAGAACTAAACTCTAGGAAAATTAGGTGCATTTAAATATCTATCACAAAACTACTCTGGAAAAAGATATGTACTTCATTCTCCTTTTTATTTACATTCATCACAAACTTGAGATATATACTATGTCAGCCTGAAAAATGTAGGCATTAATGCCTAATAGTTTTGAGCCATGTTGAAATGCCTAACAGTTCTGAGTCATGCTGTAAGTAATGCCTAATAATTCTGAGCCATGTTGTAAGTAATGCCTAATAATAGTTCTGAGCCAGGTTGAGCCATGTTGTACGTCATGCCTAGTAGTTTTCAGCATGCTTTATGTAATGCCTAATATTCCTTGGATTTAAAAGACTCACCAAATTCTATTCCTACAATCAAACAAAACGTTGCAACTGTTTACATTACATACCTGAATATCTATAAAAGAAAAATTGAATAGATAATCTCACAAATAGAAATTTAATGAAAATGTGCAATGGGTCTGAAACATTCTTCTTATGTTACATATGAAAAAATTAAGCTGCTGCATTATCTGCACCTAACTTTAGTTTACAAGAGCATATCAAAACAATCTATTGGGTTATTTTGACCATAGTTTTAAACAAATTTCAGGCAACTGCAAGTCCTTATTTTAAGAGATATCAATGTAAAGTTTTATGATTTGAATGTAGATCTGCAGTTATTTTTGGGAGATTATTTTATTGCAACCTAATTTGTAGGTTTTACTGGTTGTTATATT